AGAAACAGTCTTTTATAAAGACTTTATTCTCAGGCAAGACATGAAAAAGAGTATTACATGTTATAACCCCTTATGACTCTTTGTAACATTTCAACATTGATGTTTTGTTCTTGCTTATATTTTTTTGTATGGCTTCACAATGGTTGGAAACAAGTTCAGTGTATTATTCTGCTAATGTCTGCTTGCATAATAAATTAGAAAAAATAAATATTTGGCATTTAATTAACATTTGGGTCTTGCAATATCTGCATTGCAAGCTCCCGTCACTGGGCAGTTAAATTTACTTACTTCGCATTTTGCCACTTCCAGCAAAACTTACTTGTAGAAATCTATTTATGGAGATGAGGAAGTACAGTGCTGGAACTCTGAAGGAGGGGTATTAATGTTGCAGTTTTATAACTGTAGTGTAAGCATGCCTCTGGCAAGACAGTGATGGAGTGAGTGATGATGAAAGTTTTTCTTTTTCGGGCCACCATGGCCCTGCCTTGGTGGGAAATGGCCAATGTGTTAATATAATATTATTTCCTTTACACTGAAATACTCTATTGATTCACAGTAAAGACATTTCAATTTGCCCCTTTTAGGGGCCATGCCCAGTAAAGGGTTAATGGGAGACAGCCAGTGTTTTAAAATAAAAAAAATGCCCTTTGAACTGTGCAGTGAAAAGAAAGCTGAAATGTCTTGAATGAAATCAATGGTTGGTAGAAATGTTATATAGCAAATAAAGATTGAAGAAAATAGAAGATGGTCTAGTAATATGAAAGGTATAATCTAAAGAGTATGAAGGGGTTGTTGAAATAGTTTGGTCTTTTAGAAAGAATCTAGAATAAGTTAAGAGGGTATATAAATTGGTGCCAATCAAGGAAAATTTAGAGCGAGGAAAGAAAGACAGGATATGAAAGACATTAACAGGTAGAGGCTTGGACATTTAGAACTACGTACATATAAGCATGAGACTGATATGATCAAAGGAAGACTTCAGTTTTTTTTCTTAATTTACCCCACAGAGGCAGTGACTATCTAAACTGCCGTATTTGGCCGCCTCTGCAAAGAGAGTAATTATGTATGAGTGATGGTGAAAGTGTTGAATAATAATGAAAGTTTTTTCCTTCTTTTTGGGTTTTTCTTTCTTTTGGGTTACCCTGCCTTGGTGGGAAACAGCCGACATGTTAAAAAAAAAAGAAAGGCAGTAACTAACAATGTAGATCATCCCACACTTAAAGGGCTGAACAACCATGTTGACATCACACATCCATGCTTAAGGCTTACTTTTATTGGAAAAAAAAATCACATTCTTTCCTACATACCCTGAGTGTCACTCTCCTTGTGAAAATTTGTATTGCTTTTAGTAACCTACTACCTATACTAAACATTTGCAGCATCTGTCACATTGCTCCCCTATTCACTCTAACAAATGCCTAAATCCATAAATGCAACAAACAGTGCCTTACTCTTATTTATGTGTTGCTCACTTATGGACTTAAGTGTACAAACTGTCTACACATCCCCTACCCTTCCTAAATCCTTTATGTTCTTTTGCAGTTCTACTTTCTGTTTTACCCTTAACTCTTTAAATAATAATTCTACTGTACACCTTACTGGGTCTACTCAACAGGCTTTTTTTATTTTTTAACAGAGTGGCCATCTCCCACCTAGGCAGGGTGACCCAAAAAACAGGAAACACTTTCACTATCACTCACTCAGCCAAGGTCTTGTCAGAAGTATGCTGGCTTCACAATTCGGGTTGCTCTTCGAACCGGAACATCCCAAACTCCTCCTCCAGGGTGCAGGCGCTGTAATTCCCACCTCCAGAACTCAAGTCCAGCTAACCAGTTTCCTGAATTGCTTCATAAATGTTGCCTTGCTCATACTCAACAGTGCACCACAACAACCCCATGCCTCCACTTACTCCTGTCTAATGCACTCAGATAAGCCTATTGAATGTCCAAGCCCCTACCACTCAAAACTCTCTTTAGCCCTTCCAACCTTTCCTGGGATGCCATCCCCTCCCCCAACCTCTCCTTCCCTCTACCTGAGATTTATACATAGTCCTAGCCATCTTATTTTGCTCCATCCTCTATAAATGTTCAAACTACCTCAACAGCCACTCCTGCACCCTCTGAATAATAATTCTGGTAGCCTCACACCTTCTAATATCCAATTTCCAAATTCTCTTCATAATAAACCATACCACGGGCAGGGTTAGAACCCGCAATCAGAGAGTCTCCAAACTCTAGACCATTGCATTAGCCACTGGGCCAGTTAGCCTAATAAGATCCATCCAACTAGGTATATTTATACACCATAGGAAGGTTAGCATAGGCACCACTGTGACCACAAATGCAAGTTTTTACAGACGAATCTCCAGCTAGTGTGGCCATGACGAACTCTAGCTCAAGTCCTCTCAAAGCCATCAACATGGCTCACGAAATCGTAATGACAATTGCAAACAAACCATATCACAGCTTTTAGGGGACTTGAGCTAGAGTTCGTCACGGCCACACTAGCTGGAGATTCGTCTGTAAAAACTTGCATTTGTGGTCACAGTGGTGCCTATGCTAACCTTCCTATGGTGTATAAATATACCTAGTTGGATGAATCTTATTAGGCTAGCTGGCCCAGTGGCTAACGCAATGGTCTGGAGTTTTGCGACTCTCTGATTGCGGGTTCTAACCCCTCCCGTGGTATGGTTTGTTTGCAATCATGTCATAATGATTTCATGAGTCATGTTCTCTTTTTAATATTCACACCACAACTGCCATCCAACATGACATGCCAACTGCCTCTAGCCTCCTCCTCACTGTAACGTTTAAAACCCATGCCTCACATCCATACAACGGTGTTGTTTCCACTATACTGTGGTAAATATCCCATTTTTGCCTTAATGGATAGTTTTTTTTGTCTCCACAAATGCCTCAATGCTCCACCCACCTTTTTTTACCCCTCATCAATTCTATGGTTCAATTATCTTTAACTGACTCTACACAAATAACCCGCACATAGGAGAGAGGAGTTTACGACAACGTTTTGGTCCAACTTGGACCAAAACGTTGTCATAAACTCCTCTCTGCCAAGTGCAAGTTTTCTGAGTGTTGTCCCAGTCATGGTATTGTGTCTTTTTGTTCTTTTCACCGACTCATCTCCTGACAAGTTTATCCAAAATAATTGAACACATTTACTCTTTCCATACTCCCTCCCCCTAATCTGATATCAAATTTTTCTTTCCCTAGATTTTTTTGTTATTTTCATCACCTTGCTCTTTTCTATCTTCAATTTTAAGTGCCTCCTTTCACATACCCTCCTAAATTCCTCCACACCAACCTTTGTAAGCCTTTAGAATCTTCAAAAAGAACAGTGTTATCAACAAAATGCAACTGTGATAACTCCCACTTTTTATCAAATACCTTATTCTATAATCAATAAACATGTTCAATAACCATGGTGACATCACACACTCCTGTCTAAGGCCTACTTTTATTGGAAAATAATCCCTTTTGTCTCCTAACACCTATTCCATTAATTTGTAACATTTGCCATATTGCTCCCCTAATCACTCTATCACATGCTTTTTCTTAATAACTGCAACAAAAAGGTCCTTACTTTTATTTAAGGATTGTTCATTAATATGTTTCAATGCAAACACTTGATCTACACATCCTCTACCCTTCATAAAACCTCCTTGCTTCTCTGCAGTCCTATATTTGCTTCTCAGGCTTTCCAACTTTTTAATCTTTTTCCAAAACTTTTTCTTATTCTCAATAACATTTGCTGAAAATGACTTGCTCATTCTCTCACTGGCTCTCCTTTTATACCCTTTCACCACTTGTTTTACCTCTCCATATACTCTGCCTGCAATACATTTTTACACTGTAAAACCTTCTCATGTGCTACCTTTTGATGATACTACTGGAGAATAAGGCAGGAAGTGCTGCTACTGTATGGTATTGCAAGGTCATCAAATGTTTTATTTCTACAAAAGTATAGGTCAATCTGTCAACGATAATTACATTATAGAACACTGGTATTGGGAGAGAGATTAGAATCCATTCAAGAATTACAACATAATTAAGTGTATATAGCAAAGAATAGCTGCAATTGTATTTTCAATGAAACATGACTAATTTGCATAAGGAGCTAAATAGAGAAATTGACAGATGAATAGACTAAGTGTCATTATGACCAACCTTTCTGGGAGTTAAAAGAGCTAGTTCCTTTGAGATACAAGGCTTCAGAGATAAGACAGTTAAACAGCTAAGAAGGATACTACTCAAGATGATGGTACAAAAGTTTAAATATCACTGAGAAGGAAGATATGATATACTTTACTAGCAAACCCTTTTCGAAAAAAAACTAATGACATTCAAATGTATAGTCAATACGTTATTACTTATATTTTTTATTCACTCCGCACATGTAAGCTATACATTTAGCATCAAGCAGTACAGTTGAAATTTTAAAGATAAAGATGTGAAATAACTTTAAAAAAGAAGTAATTGATCAAAGACATTTTTATACTACATCGTCAAAACTGCCAGATAAAATTCTCTCTAAAAAATGGTGAGCAGCCCACAAACCAGGAATGTAAAACATGTAGTAAAGTGAGTACTAGACAACTTTTTACCCTACAAAGGTCTTATCAGATCTACAGACCAATAAATGTCCTCTGTAAGACATTCCTAAAATTCCCCCTAAAATCTATTTCTAGTTTCAAAGGGGCTAAACAGTAGGAGTCCAAAATAATATCTCCAAGAGAATTAGTTAGCTCAGAATATACTGGTTATAGATTAGAAGCAAATTGGTGAAAGAACTGCCAGGATACTGGGAAGATACCAATGGTAGAAAACAAAAATATATACAGGTTAAAGCCATATATTCAAACTGCAGAAAATATTTCCAACAATATTGTCAGCATGCATTACATATGTGCAGAAAAGCAGAGTTGTGCTGTAACTGGCTTTTAGTAAGGGTTGCCCAGTGCTATAAAATTAATGCAGTCATACCTTTCTTTTACAGTTGTCATGGTGGCTTGCCAGTTATACATAGGCCCTCCATTACTAGTTGTGATAGCAGGTGTGTTAGTGCTTGTAGCAGAGGAGGTGGTGGTAACAGTACCAATGGAAGAAGAGTTGTTATTATTAGGAGTACTGGAGGATACATTTGAGACTCTAGTAGGAGAACTGACAGTGGTAGTGGTGTTGGTTGCAACAATAGAAACTAAAAGTGGTGGAGAAGAGCTAGTGATTATAGAGACCTGAGCTGGAGAGGGTGCTGATACTAATGGTTGTGGTGGTGGTGGTGGAGGTGGAGGTGGGGGTGGTGGTGGTGGCGGTGGTGGAGGGGGTGGAGCAGTAGCAACACTTGGAGGAGCTGTCGGAGAACCGGGTGGCAATAAGCCAACAGGCAATGGAGAGGGGTGTGGGACAGAGGAGGATGGAAGCACTGATGGCAGGTGTGGAGACACAACTGAGCGAGCAGAGACAGGGGATGATGGAACACCAGCTCTCCGCAGCACCCCAACATGACTAGTTGTTCCGTGATTGATGTGCAGTGTTGGAGATGCTGGGGATGGTGGTGGAGCAGTAGTACTACAATCTATACTATTACCTGAAATAAGGTTAGATCACATTACTTACCCTAGTTAATTAATTCATGTCAAAATTTAAAGAATATAGAATAATCTATACTAACAAGATCTGTTGTATTCAAAGCAATATAAACTTCAAGGTTGTTATCCAAGCACTGTTTACTCTATATTTATGTCAAAACTTTAAAGTTATGAGCAATAAGAGCAATTTCCATAATATTTAAAAAAAAGTTAGTGTAGCCTATCTTGACATGTTAGTATGACAATTTTTCCAATACAGCCTCTCCTCATTTAAAGACATCGTTCCATTCCTAAGAGCACTTTGGTAAACGAATTCGTCGTTAAGTGAGGAGCATACTATGATGGTAATGAGTTTGTGTCGACTATCTTTGATATTGCTTTAATGTCACCTTTGCACCATTTATAACATTTCTGGCATATTTTTTACAGTAGTGTACTGTACAGTAGACCGTTGTATTACACAGTAGTTACGTTCCTGAAAACGCCATGTTAAATAAAAATCATGTTAGATAAACTGAAGAACTTATGGGAAAAATAGGGTTGCATTCCTAAGAGCTCCCAAAAAGCCAAACAACTTTTTTTTTAAACCAACAAATCTTACAAAAATAAGTGAATATATAATTGTAGTTCACTGTCATGATATTTTATGCTTTTTACTGCTTAAGACCACAAATGCAACAAAAATAATAGTATTTCTTACCTTAAATTGTGGGTGCTGGTGTATGTCCATGATTGTGAAGACAGCAGAGATGCATGGTTTGGCCCTACTGGGCTGAGGTGGATGGTTGTTGGTTGTCAGCCAAAGTGGATGGTAGAAGTTTTGGTACTAAAGTCGATGGTTGTATTGGAGTGTGCATAAATTCTGTAATGGATCTCTGGGCTCTTTTACCCTGCAGTACATTACACAGCTGACAGTAAGGCATCATCAGCTGGTCTAGATCCTGTTTCAAAGCACTGCTTCTATTCAGGGTCCTCTTCAGTGAAAAAGTCTGCTAGTTTAGCAGCAACATGAAACTGCTCACATAATTGCTGCAATGTTAACTGTTTTTCTTCAGGTTCTTCTTCATCTTCTGTTATGTGGCTCTCTTGTATCTATGCATCAAGCTCTGCCAACATTTCCTCTGGGCTCCTGTCTTCATCATCTTCTAAGAGCTCATTCACATCTTCATTCATATGTTCAAAACCATCACCTGGTACTCTCCTTGCCAGCTGAACATTTCCTGAACCTGACTCTCAAGCAAGGGTAATCCAGTGAAAGAATTAACCACAGAAGGCCATAACTTTCCCCAGCCTGCATTTAATGTTGACTGGGGCACTTCATTCCATGCACTTCTAGCATTGCTGATGGCATCTGCAATTTTAAATTTATTCCAGAAACTTGGTACTGCCAGGTTAGTCAGAGTCCATTGATGCAATTGGTTTTTTCAAAACTTTTTTGTGTAGTTACACTTGAATGACTTAATAACTCCCCAATCCAGTGGTTGTATTAAAGATGTTGTATTTGGAGGTAAAGACACAACTTTTACATGTGAGGTCACAGCCAGCAAAGCTTGTGGATGAGTATGGGAATTATCAAGAATAAAGAGAACCTTGAATGCAAGGTTCTTGCTGTACAGGTAAATTTTTTTTTCACTCCCACAAACCGAACTGAACGAAGTGTTGTATAAAACAGTGCCGCAATTTTTCAATAGTGCAATAAACAATAAGTGCCAAATAAAACTGTGTACTATAATGGTCTACAGTATATTGAAATGAACAGAATAGAGGAAATCAGCTCTAATATACATTATTTAGGTATGAATACTGGTCAGAGAGCCTGTCATAAGTCCGAAGCGTCAGGAAATGAGTACGTTGCTAAGCGAGGAGAGGCTGTAATTAAAACAGCTTAATTAAACAAGAGATACCCTAAACCACTTGCACTTCACGCACTCCATAAATCATTGCTATATATCCATCTATCTCTCTGCCTTATTTTCTCCCTGGGAGTTTCCTTGTAAGGAGGTAGCCACAACTTTTTCAGAACTGGACAAAATTTACTGTCAACATTTTTTTAAACACATCAGCTGTCTCCCACCAAGGCAGGGTGACCCCTCCCCAAAAAAAAATCACCATCATTCAACACTTATACCATCATTCACACATAATCCCTGTCTTTACAGAGGCGCTCAGATATGACAGTTCAAATGTCACTCCAAAGAGTCAATATCCCAAACCCCTCCATTAAAGCACAGGCATTGTACTTTTCACCTCCAGGACTCAAGTCCGGCTAACCGGTTTCCCTGAATCCTTCACAAAATATTACCCTGCTCACGTTCCAACAGGTCATCAATATTTGTTTAATTACTTGTTCATCATACTTACATGTCTTTTCCATGATATGCTCCTTTTATTCTTATTTTCCTCTAGAATATTATCATGCATCATTATTACCATTCTATTATCTTGTGCTTACTCAGCATAGTTGCACATCTTATACTAGGTTTTCTTTACCTTTGAAGTGATTTTTCATTCAACAGACCTCGACTTCATAAAGATGAAGTCCTGCCATAACATAATACAGCTCAAAGCTAATGTCAAAAGAATTGAATTTAATAGGAAAAATTTAATAAATCAACTTGTTTTCATAACTGCTTGACATGATTTTAATTAATTTTTTACATAAGCTGATCTGAAGAAGGAAACAGACTAACTCAGTAGCTGTCTTCCCAGCGTGTGAAAAATCACAATTCAGTTGGCTTTGGAATTATATTACTTTAGAGAACATTTTTTAGTTTTATTAATAATTAGGCAGTTAGTTGACTTTACCTCATGCTATTTCAAGATGAGAAATGAAAAGGACTAAACATTCCCATACATTATTTACAAAGTGTTTGAGATATGTGATACAGAAAGGAAAACTAAATTACAAATGGGATTTTTCTTAATATCACCAATGTCCAAGAAAGTGAACTTCATGAAACGATAATTGATGGGTTTGAATACAAATGAAAAACTTATGCTGTGAATTCCTTTAAATTTTATGCTAGGCTTAAGATACACGACACATAGGAACTACTTGCAACAAAACTATTTTGTTACAAGATATTTATCATGTACAGGTCTGAGATACTAGTCTATATAATATATCAGTCATATAAGCTCTAATAAGGACCAAGCAATTTAAATAATATACGACTACTGTATATAAATGCAAAGTCAAGTTTAGTAAAGAAAATTTTTTAAGAGTTGCTTAGTGAAGCTAAAAATGCTAAGTCTCATCAATGGCAATCATATATATTATACAATTTATAAAAATCTCTAACCAGAGGGTAAAGATGTAGCTCCAGAGTGAGCAATATTAGCTTGATGGTTAGACGGCAACCCAGGGGAGGAGCTCGAAGAGGATGGAATAAAACTATCACCCTTACTGCCGCCACTTCCTCCAGGAGTATACACTAGACACTCCTCAGAGGAGCTCAGATCTGGATCATGCATGTTCCGGAGTCGAGAGAATGCACCATTGGAAGGTGTAACGTTACTTGACCAAGCCATAGTTGCTTCATCACACTCACAACCTGGTGTAAAGAAATATAATGAGCTGCTGTCATGAGATGTTTCTATACTGTACTCAAGAAAACAATTTTATTTTAGTCAAACCTTGGTGTAACAGACTAATGGGGGGAGGGAGGTGTCCCCTTAAAATGATAATCCACTGAATCAAAAGTGTCCAGGGCAGTGAACTATTGTCCACTGCATTGATGACACTACTGAATGCCAATGGCTCATGTATATATGGCTCATGCAGCAGACTTAGTCCAATGCATAGGGACGCTGATGCAGTGGAAGTCATCGATGACACTACTGGACAATCGAAGAATAAACTGTAATGCAGTAAAGTAAATAACTTCAAAATAAAAAAGTTAATACAATATAGCAGTACACCATAAATTTTCTAATTGTGGATGGACGAACTTAAACTAATCCTGCATTTTTAGGCGACTCAGAATAACTTTAGAATCTAGAGGCCATGTTCATTTTTTTAACATGCTGGTTGTCTCCCACCAAGGCAAGGTGACCCAAAAAAACACTTTCACCATCATTCACACTATCACTGTCTTTGCAGATACGATAGTTTAGATGTCACACTAAACAGCAAATATCTCAACCCCCTCCTCTAAAGTGCAGGCATTGTACTTCCTAAACCAACAGATGAACCTTTATGGCTAGCCTCTACAGACACTCTTACATATTCTTCATGCACACACATACCACTGAGACATCAGACTCTACCTTCCTCTTCAAGTAAGTTTAAGTTTCTGCTTAACACTCAAATTCAAACAGTTCTTGGCACCATTACTTGCTTTAGATGCCACTGTTAATAACAATGTACTGTACTTAAAATTATAATAAAGTAATAAAAACAATATATCCCTGGAAAGCTGAGAAATGAATAATGACTGTATTATTATTATAATCAAAAAGAAGCGCTAAGCCACAAGGACTATACAGCATAATGACTGTATGTGTGAGAGCATACAGAGCATGTAGCTGCCTGGCTCACGGAAGAATAATGAAAATCAAACAGGTTCCTGATGCAGCCATTCTGGCCCATGCTAAAAAAAAAAAAAAAACATATGAGGCAAAATTGGTCCACTGGATTGATGACATTACTGGACACATAACACCCAGGCAAATGCAGCAGACTTGCTATCCTGCATTGATGACACTACCAGTCATCCCCAAGCAGCCGACTCACCGAGCCTCTGTCCGGCCAATAGTTTGTTTGTTTTATTTAAAATATGTTGCATTATATTTAGGGAGAAGTAATGATCCAATAAGTAATACAGTATGTTTGTTCTGTAGTAGAGAGAAAGACCAGAAATGTGTTGTATATTTAATACTGAACTGTAGCATAACCTTAGGAACTATGACTTCTAGTTCATGACATGAAACCAAGCAGTCAATTTGCTGTTCGACAAATTTATTATACTTCATGATATGAAGCCAAGCAGTCAATTTGCTGCTTGACAAATTAATTATTATGACATTCATGGGGAGGTATTAAAATAAAAGGAGTCTTACAGCACCTGGAGGGAATGGGAAGCATTCAGGTTTGGTTCAATTTCTTGGACCCAAAACCCCTCACCAGCTTCAAGGAACCTCCCTGAAGGGGTTGAAAATACTTGAAGACACTTTTACCCTGACTTCATAGCCTTCTATTGCATCCAGCAGTCCGGTCTACCCAGGCCCTGGATAAACAGGATTCAATACTCTACACCATTTGATAATTTATTCTTAACTTGAGCTAATACAAAGAGATTTTTTTACTTACAGTTTTACGTACATGTATACATAATTATGCAGTATCATATTACTGTTAAAAAGAATTCAGTTTTATGTGTTTGAAAAAATTTTTTTAATGTTCTGTTAAAAATATTCAAACAATTTTATGTGGTAATATTACAGAGAGAGATTTATATTGTAAAAAAAATAACATGATTGTGTATATGTCGCATCCCCTAAGCAGAAATAACACGCTTACATGCAAAGCTATGCAGGATATCTTGTAGAACAATGTAGTACCACGAAGCGTCGTCAAATGTCTTGACTCGCAAATTAATGAGCCCAAAATCAGTTCCCTGGCAGAGTGGATGCAGGGTGAGATTCCTTCCCACCTTTTTGCCCACATTCACCTAGCAGGAAAAGTAAAGATATACTGGAACAATAAACTGTGGAGCTTCTAAAAATAAATCAACCTAAGCACTAAATCCATACAGGCTATAAAACACTGCATGCCAAAAGTGTGCCAACATCACAACTCAAAAAAACCTTTCAAACCCCTTCCCACCTTGAGAGGCAAGCACTGTACTTCGAAATTGTAAGATCAAGTTTGACTAACCAGTTTCCCTGAATTTCTTCATAAATGTTACCCTGCTCACTTTCCAACAGTAGGTCAAATCATGAAAACACCTACTTCCACTCACTATTATCTGGGCATGCTCACAAAAGCCAGTTAGTAAGTTAGTTTATTCAGGTACAGGTACACATAAATGCAGTACATAAATTATTTAAACATAGCAGCATATATGTAGATTACTTAGGGGTAAACCCAAAAAGTCAAAGTGACTTATTCCATAGGGGTACTTGGATGTTCCAAGTCTCAAACTGCAAAAACCTCCCTTACCTCTTCCCCCCAACCTTTCCTGGAATGACCCTTACCCTTCCTCCCATCCACCCCAGATTTATACACCCTCCCTAGGGGGGCCACTAGGGCGATAAGAGACAACACAATAAGTGTCAGGGGCCCAAAACTGTTCAAACTGCCTTCCAGCATACATAAGGGGGGTTACCAATAGACCCCTGGCTGTCTTCAAGAGACAAATGGACAGCACCTAGTCAGTACCTGACCAGCCGGGCTGTGGTTTTGTACGTTGAAATGTGTGCTGCAGCCAACAGCAACAGCCTGGTTGATCAGGCCGATCCACCATGCGACCTGGTCACAGACTGGGCCGTAGGGGCGTTGACCCCCAAAACCCTCTCCAGGTATGTATGTAGATGTACATATATGTATGAATGTATGTATGTAGGGCTCACCTTTTTGTACTCACCTTTTTGTGGTTGCGGGGACGATCATAGCCCTGGCCCCGCCTCTTCGCTGGTTGTATGTATTATGAAAGGGGCCCCCGGTTAACGATATTTTTTCACTCCAAAAATATTTTTCGGGTGCCTTACCGACCAAATTTTGTTCCCATAAGAAATATTGTGAAGAAATTTACCATTTCAGACCCCCAAAATAACGACAAATGCATTTTACAAAAATACACTTACAAATTTTTGTCACTTCGGAGGTAATCTTTTGGGCGGGGGTCCTGTATATGTATGTATGTTGTAGTGTATTATATATTTTAATATATATAATATAAATATTTTTAATATATAATATTTTTATAAATATATAATATTAAATATTTATATATATTTATTTATATAAAAATTAAATATATTTATATATATAAATATATATATATAAAATATATATATATATATTATTATATATATATATATAATATATATATAAAAATTTATATATATATATTTTATATATAATATATATTATAAAAATTTTATATATATTTAAATTTTTTTTTTTTATTACACCCCGGGCCCGATTCCCAAAAAGGCAGGGGGGCCCAAAAAAGAAAAATTCACCATCTTCACTCCACACTGTTTTGCCAGAAGGGTGCTTTACACTACAGTTTTTAAACTGCAAATTAACACCCCTCCTTCAGAGTGCAGGCACTGTATTTCCCCATCCCCAGGACTCAAGTCCGGCCTGCCGGTTTCCCTGAACCCTTCATAAATTTTATTTTTCTCACACTCCAAAGCACGTCAAGTATTAAAACCATTGTTCCATTCACTCCTTAAAACACGTCCCCCAAATCCCTCTGGAAGCCCAAAGCCCTCGCACCAAAAACCCCTCCTTTACCCCCTCCCCCAAACCCCTTCCCTAGGCCACCCCAACCCCCCTTTCCCTTTCCCACTAAGACTGATACACTTTTGAAGTCATTCTTTTTTCGCTCCATTCTCTCTACAGCCCGAACCCCCTAACAACCCTTCCTCACCTTGGACAACGTTTTGGAATCCCGCACCCCCTCCTAACTTCCAAACTACGAATTCCTGATTAATTACACCACACATTGCCTCAGACATGACATCTCCACTGCCTCCCCCTTTCCCTCGCTGCAACTTCATCCCCAGCTTCACACCCAAAAAAGAGCTTTGGGTAAAACTATACTCTCATACCCCCCCTCTTTGCCCCCAAAGGAAAAAGTTCTTTGTCCCCACGACTCCTATGCACCACTCACTTTTTTTTCCCTCTAAATTCTAGATTTACCTATCTTTCATTAGACCCATCCCTGAACGTCCACTCCCAAATATTGAATACGTTCACCTCCTCCATCCCCTTCCCTCCAATCTGATATTTAATCTTTTCACCTAAACTTTTTTTATCCTATAACCTTTTCTTTCCTGATTCACCTTTAATTTTCTTCTTTTGCACACCCCACCCCAAAATTAAACCCACCAATCTCTGCAACTTCTCTTCAGAATCTCCCAAAGACATGTCATCAGCAAAAAAGCTGTGACAACTCCCCTTTGTGTGTGATTTTTATTTTTAACTCCACGCCCTTCCAAGACCCTCGCTTTACTTCTCTTTCAACCCCCCCTATAAATATATTAAACAACCAGGTGACTCCCCATCTTGTCTAAGGCCCACTTTTACTGGGAAAAAAATTTCCCTCTTTCCTACATACTCCTAATTGAGCCTCACTATCCTCGTAAAAAATCTTTCCTGCTTTTAGTAACCTACTCCACACCAACACTTGCAAACCCGCCACATTGCCCCCCCCATCCACCCGTCATAAAGCCCCTTTTTCCCAAAACCTAAATGCCCAAAGACCTCTTTAGCCTTTTTCTAATACTGTTCCTTATATGTTTTACTTAAAACCCCCTGGCCACACACCCCCTACCTTTTTCCCAAAACCTCCCTTTTTCATCTGCTATCCTTTCCCGTCTT